CCGTGTTGTTGCAGCCAAAGGTGGAAACACCAGTAATCTATTTAATCATTTGAAAACCATGCATGTCCGCGAATATGAGGAATGCACCCAAATGCGTGCAACGGGTTTTCCCGGGGACGGAGCACGCCCGAAGACAACTCCTACTCTGACTCAGCAATCAATAAAGTCTTCATTCGCTGCCAGTACTCGTTATGACAAGACGAGCAAAAAGTGGAAAGACATAACAAGTGCCGTAACACATCACATAGCAAAGGACATGGTACCCATTCAAACTGTGGAGAAAGAAGGTTTCAAAAAGTTGATTCAAACTCTGGAACCAAGATACGAGATCCCCAGCCGTAAATATGTTAGCCAAACATGCCTGCCACAGCTTTACACCGAATGTCGAGAAAAAGTTTACAACGAAATAAGTAATGTTGCATTTTTCTCCACCACTGCCAATCTATGGTCAAGCTGTACCACAGAACCGTACATCAGCCTCACAATCCACTACATTGACGTTGACTGGAAACTGCAAAGCAAATGCCTACAAACTTCATATTTTCCTGACGACCACACCGGGGAAATAATCGCTTCAGGTCTGAGGGATGCATTTTCGTGTTGGGGTTTAAAAGAGTCACGTCAAGTATGTATGACGACCGACAGTGGATCAAACATGATCAGAGCACTGCAGCTGAACAACTGGACAAACCTTGGGTGTTTCGGACACAGGCTGCACAATGCCATTGGTACGTTTTTAGATTGAAGCCTACATTTATGATGCAATTATTATAAAGAAAAAATATAGCTCACAAAAATCTCTTCTAATCTGAGCATTCATCTAGAAATTAAAATCCTATTTATTGAATCACATTACTGTGAGTAGCCTATACATGCATGTACAAGAAATTTGACTTGGTTTACTGTTGAGTGAAAAAACTCAACGCTGCGCAACACTGTTTCAGACGGACCCTTTACAATGTTGCATTTCTAAGCAGCGACTGCACAAGCGACACTATTGCAGCCAGTTTCACACTGCTGTGATAAATAAAAAACACATTTGTAAAAAGATATATATTTTGGAAATAGCATGTGCTAGATTTTGGCCAGATATTGTTATGTAAGGGATAATTTAGATGAAAAAAAAATAGTGACAAACCCACAACATTCTTCATGATTAGTTTGAGACATAGGGAGAATGTACACAAATAGGCCTACTATAAACTTACCAAGCACTGCACAACACTGATTTCTGCAGACTCATAAGTATTTATTTACAGTATGCCTTACCATAATCAGTTACAGTAATAAACCAACAATGAAATCAATGAAACATAAAATCTGTAGACAAAAAAAAATTACTGCATGAATTACAGTACATACGCTTTGACTCTGAAGAAAAGTAAAGTAAACAGAAATTACATAAAGCAACTGTAAAACCAACAAGAATACTGTAACTATTCATCTCTCCGTCTGGCTGGATCGGGCCATAAGATTTCATCCACATCACAGGCTATGTCTTCATTGGCAAGGCAACGTTGGAAGAATCGCCTTGTGTGACGAATCCACCCCTGCACAGAAGCTGCTTCAATAAGATCACAGCCTGCTCCATGGCCTGAATAAGGGGCAAACGGTCATAGGGCCGCAGGTCATATACCTTCCACCGCTACGCTGAAAAAAACTCTTCTATAGGATTCAGGATATGGGGGAAGGTATAAGACTTCAAAATCAGGGTGATCATAGAACCAATTCTGGACCAGAGCAGCCCGATGGAATGAGACATTGTCCCAAACAGCAATGTACCGCATCTGGTCCACTTGGTTTAATGCTGTGACAATCTCATGCAATCGGTCAAGAAATGCAAGAATTAGATTTGCATTATAGGGTCCCAGATTTGCATGGTGGTGGAGGACCCCATTTTGTGTGATTGCCCTGTGTCCAATTACATTTATCCCTCTTCTTCTTGTTTTCGCGAGGTTAAATCCAGCCTCAGCCTCATTCATGTTGAATTTCTGCTGCATCCATTTGCAAGACTCTCTGAAACACATTAAAGACAATAAGATGCTATTCAGTATGTATTGTATTGGGTTTTTTTTGTGTGACGGAACATTATGAGCATTGCACAATACAACACCATTATAGATAGTAAGATGAACAATACATACCTCCACATACTCATTGCGCAGATGTTTCACTCTCTCTGGATTTCTGTCAAATGGTACCCGATACAGTTGCTTCATGTATATTTGATTTTTCTTTAGGATTCGACCTAATGTTGACAGAGAGACTCGTTGTATGTTATTTAAAAAAAAAATATTGTCATCATTGATGATATTGGCTTGGATTTCTCGCAGCCTGATACAATTATTGGCCAAAACCATGTTCACAATGGCAGCCTCTTGTGCACGAGTGAACATAGGGCCCCTTCCACCTTGGTGTCCTCTACCCTCAATCCTATGTAAAAAAAAAAAGAAGAAAAAAAAAGAAATATGTTATATATATATATATATATATATATATATATATATATGTGTGTGTGTGTATTACTGTCAAATGTGACAGTAAACATTAATGATGACAAGTACAGCAAGCTTCAGTTTCAATTTACTGTGTGGTTACAGTAGCTTACCTGTTCTCTCTATGAAATGTCCGAATTACTGACGCAACAGTATTTCTGCTGAGATTTGGTTGAACTCGTTGTCCAGCTTCCACCAGTGTCAGTCCATGGTTGACAACATGGTCAATAAGTGTTGTTCTGATTTCTCGTGTCAAATTTGGCTCTCGTCTTCTTTGTTGAAGGATCAACCCTTCAAGTCCTTCTCTACCTCTTTCTCTACCTCGATCTCCTCTTCCTCTACCTCCTCCTTCTCTTCCTCTACCTCCTCCTTCTCCTCTTCCTCCTCCTCCTCCTCTACCTACTTCTTCTCCTCTTCCTCTACCACCTTCATCTCCTCTTTGAGCTCCCCCTCTCTCATTCTCACTCTTCTTCTTCTTCTTCTAACTCCTTCCATTTTTGTTGAAGACAGTTGTACTCACCTGCTGCCTTTTATAGCACAACTGAATGCTGCGTTTTCAAATTAGCACATCTGTGCTTCCACACCTGGTGGTTGTGATTATGCAATTTGTTCGTTAGTGTCGTCATTGGGAATCCAGTGCTTTGTAATGACAAGGAAGTAACCTCACAATCCTTATCTGTGTTTAAGGTGTGAAAATGTGTGTAGAGTTTTACAAATAACTGTGTGTAATGTTTTGCAAAAAGGGTGAAGCAGACATTGTGTAATGCTGTGCAAATCTGTGGAGGTGTTTTGCTCATTGGAGTAGAATCTTGCAAATTGTGTGGAAATTTTTTTTTTAGTGTGTAACCAATTGAAAAAAAAACTGTAAGACGTGGCTAAATGTAATTTATGGCCTTGTAAAATGATTGTTGATGTGGTGTGGAATATAGCTCTAAGGGAATGAAAACATCCTGCAAAGATTTATATCTGAAAGTGCACCGTATATAAAGTTTTAGTCTTTCAAAAGTGAGAGTTGACTCTGAGTCTATGAAATGAATTGTTTTTGAAACGAGTCATTAGCTGTTTCGTAGTGATGTAGATACGAAACATAAGCAGACGGAAGTGTAACTTGAAGTCTAGAACACAAATACATCATCATAGCATCATGTCGAGAAGACGCTGTGTTCTACAATGCAAAGATAGTTCAGCAACTTTGTTTTCATTGTCCAGGGACGAGCATGTGAAGAATCGGTGGTTAGAGTTCATATTTGCAATGATACCACAACAGTATAGCCCGATTGTGTTCTCATCATTTTAATTACGAATTGTTCAAAAACATGAATGAATTCAAATGTGGATTCGCAAGCGGTTGTTCCTGAAGGAGGGCTCAGTAACTTACTTACCCAGTGTATATGGATCAGCTTCCTCCTCCGAATCACAACCTGTAAGTATTATTAATAATTGTTGCTTTATGGGTTTTGTAGGGTCGGGGCGCTAGATCATTTAATGGGATTAAATTAGTAGTACCTAGGGTACATTCAGAGCATGGAAAATCATCTTTGTCTTACTATGCTCCATGGCTGTGGAATGAGTTTCAAGCTACTGTCTCTGTTCTCTCTAGAAACAATTCCTCCTCTGAATGCATTTAAAAATCACTGCAGTCTACAATGATTGAATCATGCTGTTGTTTTACTTGATTTATGATGAATATTGTGCTCTGACTTTCTGGAATGTTTTACATGTGTTGTGTGTTTGTGTGTGATTTGTAGTTTGGCCATCTTGGACAGCTAGGACTCCCTGGAGGAAGAGATGTCTTTTAATCTCAATGGGACCTTCCTGGAAAAATAAAGGAAATAAATTATGTTGCAAATTACAAACTAACTCAAAAACATTCATGCAAGACAAAATGTCAAATGCTCTTTACGTGTTTTATTTACTTATTATACTGATCGATTGAGTGATCGAGGACTCAAGACGTGATATGCAATGGAGAAGTAGCTTGTTGCATTTGTGTAATAATACTATGGTTAACACACATTGGAATTATCGAAAATGAACACACAATGTTTTAGAATATTTCAGCGTGATACCATTTACCATTAGGTCATAAGGCTACTTTAGACAAATTGAGATGTTTACCGTGTCATCACAGCACATGCATGACTTGTGCCAGGGCTAGCATCGCTAATCATAGCTTACGTTAACTTTTACTAGCTGTGATTTTAAATGGATTTCTTCAAATAGCATGACAAACTTTACCTGTCTAGTAGCGTGTGAAATATTCACCCAAGATCACTCTGGTCTTGTTTCTATATTCTGCGGCCTTTCTCTTCTTATCATACACTTCGTAAACATTTTTTCTCTTTCGACCCTCAGCCATTTTCAAAGGAATGGCTGAAACCTTAACTCATCACACATAATACACCTGAAAGCGAAAACTACATAAGGATGAGCACGTTCGACGGCCTTACGTAAACATAATGATCAACACTTATGACAGTGTAGACTACCCACCCGGAAAAAGAAAATCCTCCGCTATACCTTTAATTTTTTACTTTATTCAGTGATAATAAATGCATTTAAATGCCCATTGTTTTAATAGCTAAATTTAAGTGACTTTTCATTAAGTTCCTTTTGCATATACTTCCAACACTTCACAAAACAGTTCCTTTTGCATATACTTCCAACATTTCCACAAATGCATAAATACTTGACACTCAAACACAGATGAGGAACAAAACACAGTCTACTCCAGGAGAGAAACTAGTTTGTTGGCACCAAAACTGTAAGTGTAAATGAAAATATAGAAAGGAGTTCAACCTGCAAAAGAGATGGGCAAAAGAGATGGACAAACCACTCATCTTTATACAAATGATGACGTTAAAGGTACATTTTCAAAAGAGAAGGAAAATCATCTGAATTCATAAGAACTGAGATTAATATTTCATTGAAAATAAATAATTTCAGTTGACGTGAGCTGTGTTAAGAAGAAAGAGAATGATATCATGTTGGCCTTCTACAGACGGTGTGTGTGTGAAGATCAGAAGCTCGAGAGCAGCTGCGGTGTGTTTGGCGCTGCTGTGTGTTCTTCTGCTGACTGCAGTCATAGTGCTGTGTGTCATGTTCATATCCAAGAATGAAAACCTGACCAATGAAAAAAATGATCTTCAAATGAGTCTTGGAAATATTAAGGGTAAGTTTCTTCATTGGTATTTGTATGTCAGATATAATTCTGCTAAATACATTTTTATGTAAAACCTATTTACAATAAAAAAATGTACAAATGTTTCCTCTTTTTAGAATAATTGATAACAAAGGTATGGAATGCATAGATGTTTGATGTGTGGGTTCAATCCCTATGAATATCATTGACATTGTGTATATGACATTGACAATGTCACTTATTTTGAAAGAGATAGTTACCATTCGATAACACTATAACTGAGACAAGTTAAAATGACTGAAAAAGTGTGTATAGTGAAACTGTACGTTTACAGATGGATGGATTTACTATCAATCCAGTCTTTACTTCATTTCCTCTGCGAATGAGAAGAAGAACTGGACTGAGAGCAGAAGATACTGTAGAGAGAGAGGAGCAGATCTGATCATCATCAACAACAGATTGGAAACCGTGAGTGAAGTGTGTGTGTGTGTGTGTGTGTGTGTGTCTGTAAGTGATAAAAAGATAATCTTTGTTTTATTCTTCTTAGGATTTAACAAGGAACATTTCTGATCAGGTCTGGATTGGTCTGACTGACAGTGCTGTGGAAGGCACATGGACATGGGTTGATGGCAGCACACTGACCTCTGAGTGAGGAATAAATGAACTGAGTATTATCTAATAAATGATTTGCACAGTCAGCATCACATCTTATGTTGATCTGTACTTTCAGGTTCTGGGCGACCGGACAGCCTAACAGTTGCAATTGGCAAGATGAGGATTGTGCCATAATTCAGTCACAAGGATGGACTGATTATCCATGTGATAGAACATTTAGATGGACCTGTGAGAAGAAAATATTTTAAATTACACATTTTAATAAATATGTGGTCATTATAAAGACCTGTAGCAACTCTATTTGCCCCTTGCCATTTCTTTTAAATCTAAACTATCTACAAAATGCACCAGATTGAAATATGAATTACATTATTATAATAAATTCTACTAATATTAGTTCTTATACATTACAAAAATGATCTGTATAACAACCTGTGAAGAATTGGCCAAATAGTTATCTACAAAAATTAAAAGCATATAAATAAAATCATATCACTAAAATTATAAATAGTTTATTTAAATGACATTTAAATGACTACCGCAAAAATGATGAAAAACTTATAATCACTTAGTTAGAAAACAGAAGGTTTATTTTTTAATTTAGTCCATACAACGTAACCCTCTGGGGTCTAAGGTGTTTTTGGGGTGCACTTTCAGTTGAAAGTTTGGTCAAACATGTAATGCAGTATGACACTAAAGAGTGGAAGATACTGCACGTCAGTGTTACGAAACAGAAATGAGGAACACACATACAAATGTCGACCTAAAAGCCGTGGGCCTAACCACAAAAGCAGATAAGCCATATCTGGCTGCTTCTCCTGTGACTGTTGCAGAACAGGTTTACTCGAGATCAAATGTCCGTACAGGGGTCTGAAGCTGATACTACCTTCTGCCTAGATGAATATTATGAGCTGCGCAAAAAGCACTTACTACTAACAAATTCAAATGCAAATGTTTGGCAATTGAACATGTGTGATTTCATGGTGTGGATAAAGATCAATATCATCAACCGCCGGATATGGGGAGATGACCACTTCCTTGAAGAAACCCTTTCAAAGGGTGAAGTGTTCATCATGGACCACCTCCGTCCAGAGCTGGTCTGCTGCCGCAAAGACCCCCAGCTGTCTGAAGAGGTCAACTGTCCTCGTTGCAAAAGACCCAACTTTGGCAAAATGATCACATGCATAGATTTTTGCAAGCAGTTCCACTATAAATGTCTGAACATTGTCAGACAGACCAAAAGATTGTGGCTAGGTGGATACTGTACTGCACATGATGCATCAGGAGCCCTTGAATGACAGCAAATAAATAAAAAAAAATCAGCAAACAATCTAGGCTGTTTTCGAGAGCAAACAAAACAATATATGAATAGTTCAGATGCAAAAGCCTCTAAGTTCCATCTGAAATTTTCTTCTAGAATGATAATTTTTCATCAAGCTTGTATATTTAAGTTCAGTAATTTCACTTAAATGGCAATGAAAATTGCCTATTAATTTTTATTTAAGCGAAATTACTGAACTTAAATACAGACAGGACACATAAACTGTCAAATAAATTAGGTCAAAATATTTGAAATGACTCAAAAAGTAAAAAATAAATAAATAAATAAATACAGACAGACCTTGCCACTTTTCCACTACTGTCTATGGTGATGCTGCTATGAGGGAATATGGAAGGAACAAAGTCTGGACTATCACTCCCCTGGTAGACAAAAAAAAAAAAACATGATAGATTAGCAATAATTACTTTCTTAATGTTTAATATTAACATTTAATCAATGACAGAGAATTCTATTGCGCTGATAGCTAGCTAGCTGCTACTACCAGATTCACTGAACCAAAGCAACGGCTTTTGTTTAATGATAATTGATTTATGAACGTTAACATCGACGAGCATGCAGTGCTAACTCAAACTCATAGATAGAGAATTAAGATGTAAAACAAATCGTAACAAACCTGTTATGATTCTGAAGTGTGCGCTGCAGACACTCTCACCTCCTTTCGCACCATCCAGACCCCAATCTGCCCTTCTTATGGCTTGAAGCCATAACCTCCAGCGGTTTTTGGCAAAACCATGCTTCCTCCTGGGAATGTTGAACATCTGGCACCCAGCACTGGCTCGGTTGGTACAATTGACCACACAACAACTCCTTGGCATTTTGACTAGCAACAACACCACCACTATGCTACTAGCCTAAACCGTTTACTCTAGTACGAAGACCGTGGGTCTTTTGCCTTCCGGTTGCGTGTGTAGCGTCCCTAGTGCTAACCAAAACTAACATCTTCCTAGGTCCGGAATGTGGTCTGCCTTTAGTGCCTTCACAACATTTTTTAGGAAAAGTACAATCGCTTGCCATGTCCTGCACGAGTTACTCGTCCTTCCCAAGCAAAAGTTGATGACCGACGTCTGTACGAGGTGGAACAGCGCACACATGACATGTTGGAGCGATTCGTAGAGCAACAGCCCGCAATTTGCGCTGCACTACTGTCAAATGAGGTGCGGAAAAATGCCAAAAATCTGTGGACATTAACAGAAGCAGACATAACATGTGCTGAAGATGTAATAAAGGCACTGAAGCCACTTAAATTGGCAACTCACGTTATGTCCGAGGAGAAGACCCCTATGGTGTATCACCTCGTTGCATGCTCAGTTAAGTCATGGCATTCAAATTGAAACCACCGACTCGGCAGTGACACGGGACATAAAGATCGCCGTGACTGGTGATCTGGAGAAGAGATCTTCTAAATATGACCTCAGCACTGGATCCGCGCTTTAAAGCATTGCCCTATTTGACGGATGAGAACAGACAGGAGGTTTACACCGAAATGACTATGAAAGCATTGCAGATCCCAGACAGCAAACTGACATTGAATCAACGTGGAAACAACGTCTCTCATGACATTGAAACAACGTTGATTTTGCTCATCGAATTAACGTTGAACCAACGTCAGACGCGACATTCTTCAAAGCTAAATGGAAATCGAAAATTGGTTTGCTTTCATAACGTTGAAACAACGCGTTGATTTCAAGTTGATTTTCCGTTAGTTTTGAAAGAATGACGCGTCTGACGTTGGTTCAACGTTAATTCGATGAGCAAAACAATGTCAGATCAACGTTGTTTCGATGTCATATTTCCACGTTGATTCAATGTCAGTTTGCTATCTGGGATTTCACGTGCAACGGTAAGTTAAAGTTAGTTATTGTTATATATCAGCTAGTTATATTATAATAATATCTTCTCACTTTTATAGATTCGTTTTCTCACTCACTTCTTACTCGCATTTTATATATTCGTTTTTATACTGCCCCTGTTTTTTTTCTATCTGTAAAAAAAGATATTTTTTTGTATGCCAACTCAAAATATGTTCTAGAACAATATATGTTTCTATTAATGTGGTCAACAAAATATGGGCTACATGAGTTTAAAAAACACAATTTACAATAAGATTAATTAACTAAATATTAGTTAATGTATTAACTAACAAACTAATCATGAGCAATGTGTTTTTTTACTGTATTTGTTCATTTTTATTAATGTTAGTTAATAAAAAATAAAGCTGTTCATTGTTTGTTCATGTTAATTCACAGTGCATCAACCCATGTTAAAGGGTTAGTTCACCCAAAAAAGAAAATTCTGTCAGTATTTACTCACCCTCATGTTGTTCCAAACCTCTAGGTTTGGAACAACATGAGGATGAGTAAATAATCTCATCCTGCTCTGCCCTGGCCACGCCCTCATCCTGCTCCGCCCTGCCCATGCCCTCAGCCTGCTCCGCCCTGGCCACGCCCTCATCCTGCTTCGCCCTGGCCACGCCCTCAGCCTGCTCCGCCCTGGCCACGCCCTCATCCTGCTCCGCCCTGGCCACGCCCTCATCCTGCTCCGCCCTGGCCACGCCCTCATCCTGCTCCGCCCTGGCCACGCCCTCATCCTGCTCCGCCCTGCCCATGCCCTCAGCCTGCTCCGCCCTGGCCACGCCCTCGTCCTGCTTCGCCCTGGCCACGCCCTCATCCTGCTCCACCCTGGCCACGCCCTCAGCCTGCTCCGCCCTGGCCACGCCCTCATACTGCTCCACCCTGGCCACGCCCTCAGCCTGCTCCGCCCTGGGGGGCTTCCTCCTCCAGACCACGCCCTCCACAGCCTCCAGGGCGCCCACCCCCCTCCCCATTGATGTTACGGTGATGTCACAATCTGTCGTCTGCACCAGTCTGTCTCGTCATCTGCACTACACTTCCCAGGATCCTCTTGTCTCTACTCCCGATCTCACTCCCTCATCAGCCACCTGTTCCTCGTCTGTTCATCGTTTTCAACTGTTTGCACATCATTATGTTTGATTCCCTGTGTATTTATTTCCCTCAGTTTCCTTCAGTCTTTGTCGACCGTTGTACTTATATAGTCTGTTTTTGAGTGTATTCCAGTCTGTTCCGTTCCATTGGATGTGTCAAGTTTAAGTAAAGTGTTTGCATTGGAGTTTCTGGCTCATCTGTCTTCTACATCCACCTGCACTTCCACCACACCCGTGACATTATAACACTGGTTGGTTATTAAATAAACAGATATTACTGTTACTAAACTCTGCTCAAAAGAATTTTAAATTCCTAATTGATCCATATCGTGAAACGTATCGTATCGTGATGTGTATCGTATTGTGACATTGTTGGTGATACACAGCCATCAATGGAGGCAAAAAAAGTAAAGGGAACCCAGAGGGAGAATCCTCAAGCAAGAATATCAAACAGCCAAAAAGAGGTGAAGGAAACGTCTCGGTTACGTATGTAACCCTCGTTCCCTGAGTAGGGAACGGAGACGTTACGTCAGAAGTGACGGAGATTGGGGGTTTCGCATAGAAAGCCAATCCTCTTCGAATATTTAAACACGAGCCAATGGCATGCAATGCCTTGGGGCTGCGGAAATTTGCATAGCGTACTCCGCCCTACTCCGTGAGTATAAAAGGAGGAAGTGAACGCAACCGCAGTATGTCTTCGCTGAGGAGCCAAGACTGAACTCGGCGTCTACCCAGCGATACAGCAGAAGTGGCAGGGAGACGTAACGTCTCCGTTCCCTACTCAGGGAACGAGGGTTACATACGTAACCGAGACGTTCCCTTTCGTAGTCACTTCGAGTTACGTCAGAAGTGACGGAGATTGGGGGTCTGTGCCATCACGCCATCTTCAAGCTGTCTTCCAGTGCCCTGCGAAAGTCTGGACCCCCGAGCCTTACCTCTTTTTTTTTTTTTTTTTTTTTTGGGGGATCCGACTTTGACACAGGATTACCAAGGTACACTGGGAAACATATCCCGGAAGGGACATGC